TATTTACTTTTAAACCTTTTAAATATTGTTTTTTTTGCGTTGAATATAGCGGTAAAACCAGTTGTTCTCTTTGCTGAGTTTTATGTTATTTGTGATGTTTTCTTAAATTAGTATTATGGTATTCCTTATCTTTTATCCTAGATCTGACCTTCGTATTCTTATGTTATTTCTTATTCGGATGTTCTTTCTTCTTCTGATTTTTGCATTTTCTTTGTTATTTATTATGTTATCGCTGATTTTTTATCGTGCTGTTTCGGATGTCACTGTTATGATATTCTTTCCTTATTCTAACAATTTTTAGTTGTGTAGGAAAACACTCGAAATTTTCCAGTAACGTTTCAATCACAGAACGTTCGACCACAGAACGGTAAGCGACGTTGAATAAACATGAGAAAACAAAATAAAATAAAAAACATAAGAATAATTTTAGACTAACATGATAAAACAAGAATAAAGATAAGAATAGCCTAAGAAAGCATAAGAATAATATAAGAATAAGAAAACAAACATCAGAGTAATAAAATAACCAAAAAATATTTTTGAAAATCAGAAGAATAACATAAGAAAACATTATAGGAAACATAAAATCATAAGAAATAGCAAATGTGTCAGAGTCAGACTTTGAGTAGTCAGTTATACTGTTATAGCGGTCAGTGTCAGCTATACAACTAACAATCTCAGTGAAGGAAAAACCTGGGCGACCTCGGATTTCTAACCGGAAATAACTTGCGTTTTGTTAACGAATGTTCAACCAGTGTTTTTATATTGCGCTCTATCATTGCACGTAGCTGCGTTTAGTCATTCTCTCTATTCTACAGTGCATGCGGCTGCGCCATTGTCCTCTGCGAAATTGACTTGTGTACTGTAAACAAACTCGAGTTCAACTAATAGATACTAATTTTGTACAAAACAAAAGAGATAAATAAATCAAAATGTACGTAAATTAGAAGACTTGTGTCCCATTTTTATACAGGACATTCGCACCGCTACAGAATGCAATCAGACAACAAAACAATGGATGCTAAAAAAGACTTCTGATTTGCGAACTACATCGTGTTGGCTTCACATGGCGGCAAATTAAGGAACGTCTGGGCATCAGCATCAGTACACTCCAAAAAGTTATCCAAACAGTAAGATTACCTGAAGACAAGCGAGGATGCTGACTAAAAAGCAGAAAACACAGATCCAGCAACTGGCGAGACAAAGAGAGTACAGTGTAGCACGAATTGCGCGCCAGCTCAACGTCAGTGTGTGGACTGTGAAACGATATCGACGATTAGCCGCCGTTACTGCTGATCAGAAGAAAAGGATTCTGCAGCTGTTCCGCCGTGGCTGTCCAAGAGCGGATATAGCGAGGGAGGCTAACGTCGTAGCTGACGCCGTATCGGCTGTATTAGGCCCGTGGAGAAGACCTCTTTTAGTCAGGGTCGTGAAGAAGAAATACTTAACTGCTTCGACGCAGGCTATAGTAGGGACTACATTCTGAAAACGTTCCATCTGTCCCCTAAATCGCTTAAGAAATTGTTGCGACAGAATGGGAAAAGCGTTGAGCAACGTTCGCGGGAACGATACCGGCAGAAACGAGCTACCGTTCTTCAGCTTTGCTCTGAGGGATTGTGTAAGATCGGCATAGCCAAGCAGCTTAAAGTACGCTTGGAGGCGGTAAATAAGATTTTGAAAGATGCCGAACAGGAGTCGATCACAGCGAACGAGCGTTCACTTAGCACGGCACCTCCGGAACTGGATTCGGAAAGGGTCGTGGAGGAACGAGCCGTGAAAACACCGGAAGTTGTTGAGAATTGCGGTAACAACACTGCAGAGAAACGTTGAAGATGGACTCGGCTAGAACCGATGCTGCGTATTGATGCAACCGCTAAGCGCGCTCATTTTAGTTGCGTCATTCGTGATAATAGTGCGACGAGTTACCACGACGCACTCACGACAGCGAATGGGGATCTGTTTGTGGGTGGCATCGAAGAAGGGGCTGCTGTGCCCGCTGAAGCGGGTGCTGTGAAGCGCCACGCAAAAGAATACTCGGGCAGTGCAGTTGCAGAGCAGCCAAAAGGAAACACAGTCGTTGTTAGCCTTGCATCTATAGGTGAAGACGGCATAGCTCATATGCCTTTGCTTGCACAATACTCCGAAGACAAAGCCATTTCAGCAACAGACAACCACAACTCTTTCAATGCCAGCAGTCATGAAATGCTGCACCCCAATGCCTTTGACGATTTTTTTGACGGAAACTATAACTTAAGCAATATGGCCAAGGCGATTGGAATCACGACGGAGCGTCCAAGCAGCATCCCCATGTCTGACCCCGTACAATGGGAAATTCCAATAACATCTAAGGCTTCCGCTGCCCAGCCAGTCAAGAATGTCATAAGTCGGCGCTGTCCAGCATCTAAACGCAGACAGGACGCAAAGGATGCACACCACTGAGAAACTTCGGCAAAAAATACTCAATACGCCTCACTAGATGTACCTCCGATCGTATGTTGGAGTGCAACCGAAGAAGCAGCAAAACCTTAACAACTTGCATAATTGCAGTGGGGTAGTTAGAACAGTATAATTATACCTCCTTGGCCCATTTTGTGCGAATCATAGCAAAATTAATTGTGTTAAATAAACAGAATAATATTTTTCAGTGGAAGCAGTGAGCGATAAACAAACCGTTACTACTCTCAGCCATCCAGGCTGGATGGTTGAGAGTAGCAACGGTTTGTTGAGAGTAGCAACGATATAAATCAGTGGAAACTCAGCGGACGCGGTCACCTGGTAACGGAACGATTAAACATTACTCAAGAAAATCGACATAACGAAACATGCAGTGGGCCGTCTCTCGTACCGGACGTTAATGCAACCGCCGCTTTGCCTAACCCGATCATGCAAGCGGCTAGCTGTAGAGGCCGAAACAACAGCTAGCAGCGCGCATTTTGGCTGGTTGCTTTGGCTGCTAGAACAGGAATGTTCACAGGAAGCAAAACAAAATAGCATGTCGTTGCAGCATGCAAGGATATGCTGCATGCTGCCCTATGCCACACTGTTGTCAGCTGCCAGTGGAGATGCGGGGCGGGAGTGTCCCGTTTTAAATACTTAGTGTAACCGTTCTAGTGGTGTTTCTTGGGTCCCTTTGGGAATTTCGAAATTTTAAATTCTAAAAACTTATTTGAAAATCGTTTTGTTTGTTCGCACTCCGTTGTTTGACCGCAGAATGTTCGACTCTATCTTTTCTGTATGGAATCCAATAAATGTTGACCGGTGGCCATGGCAGTGCCGCATGGGGGATATTTGAACCCCACTTCGACTGCTTCAGTAGTAACTGCCAGTGTTTGCCAACCCGTGCAAATTTAAACGATAAAACGTTTTCGTGTACCACTGAAACGGCATCTATCAGCCAACCGATTTAAGAACTTTCACATGGTTGTACGTTGCAGTCCCGGTTGAGCCAGGAATATAAAGTGTCTTTTAACCGCTTTTTCGCTACTCATTTTGGCAGGTTCAGACTTCCTGTGTATCTTGAATCACATCATTTTATTTGGCGTCCGATCACTTCGACCGCGTTACATTTCGGGCACGCAGAATCACTTCGACCAACGATAACTTCGGCCGAAGCCTACTGCGGCCAGCAGCCAATGCGGCCACGCTCTTTCCGACAACTGGAAATTTTGGCCATATTGGTGTGATATGAGTGACCGCATTTGTGACCGCAGCTTCGTTTGCCGACGGCATGCGAATCATCACTTTGCGGAAAGTGGACCGTCTGGAAACTGTACCATTTGTGCCGAGATCCGTGTAATTATAACAGGCAATGCGTTTGCTTCGGCCAGTTTGTGGCAATCAGAATACCATTGACCGCCAATCTGCAATCTATTTCGGCTACCGATCACTGTGACCGCTTTCATTTAGGCCACGTGCATTTTGGCCAAAATTTTTCTAGCTGTTTTTCGGTTGTCGCCGTTCGCTTCGGCTTGCGTACATTTCGGCTGTCATTATGACCAACGAGCCATGGATTTTTAATCTATAGGATCCACATCAGCTTTCGAATACAGATATTTACGAGTACAATCCAAAACAATTAAAATCAAAATATCTAACGCATCGCCAGCCGCTTATACAAATTTCATCACGTGTACTCTGTACCTCTACCACGAATTCATGATCGCGCTGTGATCGTGCAGATCGCACGTAGCCGAGGGTGAAAGCTAAAACTGCGCACGAAACTGGAAAAACAGAAGACAATATTAGAAAACAAGAAATAGGCGTAAGAAGATTTAAAAAACGAGAGAAGAAAAGATGAAAAAGCATACAAAAACTTAAAAAATCCAAGAAGACTGCTCACTTGTTCTGCACTACGATAATATGCCCGCTAGAAGTGCATGTAAATATAGTGTAGCCTACGCTGCATAATCACTTCCGCCGGGGGAGAAAATGCTCAAAAACACAGCGTGAAACCTTTCTTGTGCAGATTATAAAAATAATTTTCACTTTAGGACAGAGAAAAAACCGTTTGTCCTTTCCGAAAATGCTACGAAGTTTGGAGTAATTATTCGGTCAAGCGAGACCGATAAATGGCTTTAAGCGTTGGTGCCAACTGCAGTAATTGGTTAAATACTGTTGGGAAATAATGCACTACATTTGTTTCTCGAGAATATGATTGCTTTAATTAACAGTGTAATTCCCGATGGTCTCAGCATGGGTATGTAGACGAATGCGCAACGGTTGCACAGCCACAGTTCTTATCAGTTTTCCCGCATACAGAGTATTTTATCATGCAACGTGTTCTCGTACATCTATAGTGAGTCATGATACATGAATCACATCCGCCGTACAGTTAACACTTCGATCTAGGAAGTACTCAGCATGAACGCCACTGGAGAAATGTTCATTAAGAGCTGTATAGCCGATGACGAACCCAGTTTAGCCATGAATACACTGTCAAAGGTTTAACTACAGTAGCTTGTTTTATCAGATCGCTAAACACAGCTTTACTGCAGTTAATTTTGTACGTTCTCACTTCTCATCACCCACGCCCATCTGTGCAGATGTGCAAGCAAAATTCTTTGGAATTCAAAGGCTGATTAAGTCCGTCTTTCTGTTAGTATTACACTGAAACTTCATAAGTATGCCGTTTTCACGCCAGCGTAAGTACTTAACAACAGCATATCATAATGTTGCGTTATTTTTAACGAATGACAGATCGTTTCGATACTACAGGGTGTGGTCGTTATGGGAATTATGGCTGAAGAAGAATCAGTTAAATTCATTTCAAAGAGTCCATGGTTAGCGGAGAACAGAAGGCAGAGATTTCTCGGTATATGGCGCTACGTCACTATAGGTAGCAATTTTTTGTCGAGTGGCACATTGAGCGCGGGATTATTTATCGTGGTAAGTGTCGCTGAATCAAGTAAAGACTCGAAATCTTAGCAAATAGTAAGCGATGAATCTTTAAATTATTTAGCTGCAGTGCCGTGATTCTGAATTTTGGTAGCTTTGATAACGTGCCTTGCACTGCTGCAAAACATTAAGTACATATTTGAATTATTGTCAGAAAAGGCTGCGCAAAGACCAATACTAATCGTTCTGTGCCAACCACCGGCAGAAAGTTCAAGAGACTAATGGCTGGTGATCAAAGGAGTTACAAGATAAACTTTTCTGTAAACATAAACCTTTCTGTATACATAAGCCTGTACACAATCCTTTCTGCCTGGTTCCGGCAGGAAGGATGGCGCAACGTTAACCTTTCTAGCCTGAGACATGCGCCAGATCGGCATTCGCAAGATAATGGCTCCTCTGTTGCAGCTGCAGGTGCGACAGTTCTACAACATCGCTCACTCGTTGGCGGCGCAAAGCGACAACACACAGGACATACACGTACATTTCTTGGATAAATGGAGCGCTATTGGGATTGGGCTGATTGTTGCAGCGCTCGTTAGCATCTTCTTCGGAATCGTCAGTCTGATGGCTCACAAAAACGCGTGGACGAAAAGACATCCAAAAACCTGCACGACGCTAGTGAGATACAGCGCTCTATATTTCTAATTATACCGCTGGTAATACCGCTGGTGGGGTTTTAGGCTGTCATCATAACAGTCGGCGTACTAGTGGCCGAAGTAGCATCCGCAATTTTACTGCAGCAGAGGATTGGTGATAAGCAGCCATCGGAAGAAATTGCCGCGTTGAAGGAGCAATACGCATACCTTCCCACACAACTGACAACAAACGGTGCGGTGGTTATTGCACCTTCACAATTCAATGCCACAAGCGACCCCACGCCACCAGAAGCGCTGCAAAAAACCATCGTTTTAAATGCGCTCCAAATGATGGTATAAGTATATGAATGGCATAAGTATATGATGGTCATAAGACTCATAACGATGTGGACGTCTGGACCGGTTTGGCTAACGAATCTAAAACCTTAAGCTTATGTAAATGCGAACTTCATAGGGAAGTGAATGCGAACTTCATAGGATACTCGGTAAACAAAACTTGTACTTGCACGAAAACTTTTGAATTCGTTCACTCAAAAATAAAACTTTCGCGCATTGTTTTATGACATTCTGCAACCAAATTATTTTTATGCTGACGTGAAAAACCGTTTGTGCGAGCAGCATTCGGTTTCACGAAAACTCCACAAAGCCTAAACACTTTCAGATGTACAAAATATCTCGTTTTCCAGTTTCAGATGTACACTGCATTTTCAACTAGTCCGTAGAACTTTTGGGTTAATGGAATCGAAAATTACTGTGTGCGGCGAAAAGCAAAACTAACAATCAGCATAATATTATTTAAGTATTAATAAAAATTAATAATAGCTCAAATTTACCGGCATAATGATGCCCATAACAAAATAAAATTTCTCCATCAAAAAGCATACAGCTTAGGACAAAATGGTCGCATACCCAATATCTCCACATTCAGTACGATTGCAGCGCAGTGCACTGTACGACTGAGTTCAAAATATCCGTTTCGTACAAGTGCACTGCACCGCTTGCGTACAGAATGCTGGGTACGGGGCTATGCGACCATTTAGTCCTACATTGTATTGGTGTTAATGCATATCTAGTTGCATTGCTGCGGTACTGAAGCCGACTACGAAGACTTCCATGATGGGTTGTACCATAATCAATCCTTCCCGTTGTTCTCGGCCCCGGTCTTTTGCTGTCATTTTAAGGATCCCATCAGCAGAACGCTGACGGACCGGAGCTGCTATTTTGATACATACCGCCAGTCGCAGACGTTTCAACGCGTACGTAAACCCCACAAAAAATATCCCGTGGCAAGTTCATTACAGCACAACCACGACATTGTGTAATAAGGCGCTGTTTTACTTAGGGTTGCGTGGATGCTGTCAAGGAGTACCGGCACAGCACCTTTCCCATTATGTTAACAGTGATATTTGGCTCAATAGTTCTCAAGGTAAGACCCTAGTATTGCGTTGCCGGTTTTGGTTTTTTTAACTCCATAATGGCATACCGACAAGACTTACGATAACTTATGCGGATAATTAAGTGTGCTGTAAAAAGATGCGGTTGCTGTAGGTCATTGTGCACATTGTTGATCGGGCTATGGTGTGGTCGTTACCCTGCAAGGTGAGACTATTATGGCCGAACGGTACACCCACAGTCCGGTGTAGGACAGTGAGTCCGCGTTGACCGTACCGAAACGGTGTCGTTAGTGAAATTTACTGGTGTCGTCGCACGGCGCCAGTTTGTTGGCTGCGAGCACTGCACGTATATGCCAACTGTCATGCCATGTACAGATCTGTACAGTATAGTGAAAATGTATGATTGTGAGTTCATTCAGTTAGTACTGTAATTAACTCTTTCGCTAGCTCAGACAAAATTTGCTGACATTTTTATAACATAGCAAGATGATGAGCATTGCCATCGTAATATTCCCTTCAATTTATAACGCCTTTGCGGATGTTTTTGTTTTCAGATAGTTCGGTCGCGCCGTAATCCATCAATCGTCAAAATAGGCGTAACTGACCGAACCGCAAACAGAGAATCAAATGAATTAGACGTTTTAAACTCGGAAAACGAGGATTGTTTTCGAAGATGGCATCAAGTCATAAAGCATGATGGGGAACAGCACCTGGGAAGTTCTTGTAGTTATGAGAAGGATGCCATAATTGGTCAAGGTCGTTATGGCAGGGTATACAAAGCCCGTATTATGTCTCGTGGCGACTTTACCGGTCCCCCCGTTGTGGCTGTTAAAGAACTTATCGTGCAACGACAAGCCGATACGTTATCACTGACGAACGAAGCATATGCTCAAAAATGGGAGGAGCTGCTACGACTGCGCCATGAAAATGTAATGGCCTACCATAAGGTCAGCTTTTTTACATCGGGTACTGCCATGCGGATAGATTTGCTGATGGACCTCATGCAAGGTAATTCTGAAGAATCAGCTGATGCGAGCAGTGTATTTGTAATGTTGAAGGCCAGTTAACAATGTGCGCGATGCGGATGTTCTCCAACAAATCACCAAGTTCGGGAGACCGTTCGTCCAAATAAAGTCATAAAAAAAGCGAGAAAATTCGATTGATGCGTGTCGGGTCAAGCTAAAATCCTCATTCTTTTTCTAAAGTGCAGGTGGGGATTTGGCCCGTTATATATCCGACCGCAATGCAGCACCAGGAACAATGTTCTTAATCACCGCCGTCGAATTTGCACGGCAGATTTCCGGTGGCCTATCGTATCTGCACACCAACAACATTATCCACGGCGACCTGAAGCCAGCCAATGTGCTCCTGAGGGCGCAGTCGGACCGGTGCACGCTATTCATTGGGGATTTGGATGAGCGGATCGTAATGCAAAGCAATCTGACATGTTCGGTCGATGTTACACACTCGTGCGGAACCGCCCGTTACATGTCGCCCGAAATGATAAAAAAGTTTGCTGTCGGGCAGACGGACCTGAAAATTGGTCGGAAGACGGATGTTTGGAGCCTGGGTTGCATTATGATAGACCTCGTAGACTGCTGCTCGGGAATGGGAGAAAAATGGCTATGGAACAAAGAAACAGCAGACGAGTTCCAGATCATGAACGCTGTGATGGACAACGTAATTTTTATGAAATTATTGGAAGGCTATGTGCCGTTATTGCGTTGCCCGATCATCCCGGACGATTACGGAATTACCTGTCTCATTGACCGCGCACTCTCTAATGACAGTCAGAATCGCATATCGTCCCACGATCTTTTCGACAAACTGGACGCAATGTACTTACACATGTGCAGAAAGACGACACTAAAACAGTAATGTGTACGCCAGTGGTAACACTATAATAAATGTGAACAAGCGACCTGGTACTGTAGTGCACAATCGCACAGGTGCAATACCATTCCGGCAAATGTATTAGTAACCATCACATTTTGAAAGATCTTTACTGTAGCTTCTGCAGACACATACAGAGTATGGCATGATGTAAGTCCGTCTACAGCATTGGCACGGTTTCGGTGTATTATGAGTGAAGACGGTATCCGTCATAAACGAACTCTCGTGACTCGTGAGACGTGTATTAATCATCGATATTTTCATTTACTAATAATTCTTGCCATGTATTGGGTGCTCATGTGTGTGTAACTATGTTGAGGCACGTCTATAAACTCTATGTTAACCATTTTGCGAAGAAAATAGCGCTGCATATTTTCTGAAGTTATATTATATTATGTAATAATAATAATATAGCTTCAAGCTATGGATCCATGTCGTGTGATATTGTAACTTGTAAGGTTGTAACTGAAGAAAGACAGAAATTAACTGAGAGTAGAGAGAACTCTAACGTTTGTAAACTCTAGGAGAGACAGACATGTAACTTTTGTAGCTTAGGAGAGACAGAAATGCTGTAACTGAGGACAGACAGGGTGCAGATGCTGGGAGGAGCAGGTTATGTGAACAGTGAAAGAATGCACTGAATTCCAGTGCCAGTTGATCCAGAGTTTCAAGCATTAGTTTTTCGTTTACCCTTCCATAAAACTTGTCAACCTACATCTCAGAAGATAGGGAAAAAATTCAGAAGCTTTTTGATCTCTGACAAGTAATTATTTATGGCGAACCAAGAAAGTTATGCCTGTTTTTGTTTCTCGTAGACACAGCATAGGGTGCAAGCAACGCCTCCATCGCACGGACCCATGCTATGTCTATGAAAAACCGAAACAAACTTAACTTTCTTGGTTCGCCATAAAAACTTACTCTCACGATATCAAAAAAATTCTGAAATTCTATTCTCTGTTCTGAAACATTGACTGGCAAGTTTCGTTAAGGAGACATAGAAAAACGGATGCTGCAAGTTTCGAAGATCAAGTGGCTGTCGCGACTTGGATTCGCTAGCCAGAGTAATACATGTATGCGCGTACGCCAGGTGGCTGCCGCAGACCAGCTCGCTCCAAACCGACCAACAGCCATGTACTCCAGCAAACTTCCCAAGTTCCCAGTAAACAAATTTACAAAATTTTTTTGCAGTTTGAGTTATTATTATGTAATCAAACCGTCGATTTTCTTCGCAAGTGTCCCGACGTTTACGAGGGTCGCCAGGCTAGTGTTTTTATTTTAGGGACCACGTCCCCGTGGCCCTTTCACTCTCTATGCCACTGAGTGGTGGTAGTTAGCGTGCAATAGCGTAATTTTAGGTTTTAGTTTACAGTCAAACATCGCGAGTACACAACTCGCATCACGATTCACGCGCTACATTTGATAAAGCCAGTTATAGGCTAGCACAAAAAGCTCTACCAAAAGAAAGCTACTATGCTTTGTGAATTAAAACTGCTTTACCACGTCCTGGGATCCTTTGGACTGTGCCGTATGTATTGTTGCAGAAATAGATTTTATCACTGAATCTGTTCATGAAAAACATAGAATATTGCACGCGAGCTGTTTCCGGTCCAATGCCATTAGTTTTCGCCTATTTCGGATTTCTATGTGTCGCGTACTCAGTTTACCGCACGACTTACGGGCAGCGGCTCGGTAATAGTTTTAAGTCAATGCTGTACTGTACATGTACTGTACGCGATCGTTGCACGCAGCCCGTGTTTACCCGTGCACCTAGTGGTAGTGTAGTTCTGATGAGCCGTTACAGTAATGCTGCGGACATTTAAGCGTCTTCTACTAATACCTTCTAAAACACCCGGTCGTCTAAAACGCCTGCAAACGTTTTGGGCCCCCTTAAACTGTTAAAAACATCAGCCGATATTTTTTCAACCCAGTATTTATTCAAGGTGACTTAGGTGAGCAAGTTGCTGTGGTACCACAGACGGTTTCAAATGCTTTCAACACAAATCAACAGAAGTATCTATCTATATTACACCAACAAAAAAATAGCAAATATTTTAGATTTTTAAATCCTGTTAAATGATTGCTTCTTTCGAATTTGCAAGATTGTGGTCTGAAATACGAGGTTTCAGTACGGTTTGTACGGAGATTGTCAGATGGAGTACGATGTTTGTACGGATCTGTGGTGCTACTGTAGTTCAGCAAGATAACAAACGTTCAATAAATCAGTATTTATGTGACTGTTTACTCTTGCGGTGAACATTCCGCGTGCAGCTGGTCCACATTTGAACAAGCAAACCTTGGACATCCTGCGCTAGTGAAAAAATTCATCAAGGTATTAGAATATTTTTGAATTTGAAACTCAATTTAGGAAGTCGCATTATGGCAGAGCGCGTTGTAAGAGAACTCAGTGCCGGTCCAAAGACTGTTCATGTTGACTTTTTTCGAGCAGTCAAAACTAAAAACATCCGTATCGTTTCCACTTGTGCGGACAGCCGCTGGCATATAGTTCTCAACAATAAACACTTCACCCTCGTTTTTCGCTTTGATAAGGTATGGCTTCTTTTGAAAGAAATTCCGCAACCATTCAAACGAGCAATCACAATGTAAGTCGCGAATATACTTGAGCCGCGGCTCGTTCTGGTACTAGTCGAAAAATTCTTCCCTACTCATTACCACCGACAGTCACAGACGAATCATCAAAGATCCGTTTATCGTGTAACCGATATCTTTAGTGGTATGTAGTTTTGCAGTTACCCTTTCCGAAATAGGATTTATTCACAACACATAAACTGATATGCAACTGTTAATGTGATTCTAGTTATTGCAAAGGTCACCAGGAATTCATGATTCTCCTATAAAGATCTTCGTAGAAATTTACTGACCGGGCGCCACAGGCGTCATTCATATGGAAAGGAAGAGCAGCCGATGAAGAAGAGAAAATCAACGAAGATTGCCGTGAAAAAGTCGCAATAGCACTTGACCAAAATAAACATGGTACCCGCGAATACAACCAAGTCGACAAGAAGATCAGCAACACTTTTCAACCATTTTGGGGGAAATTTTCGGTTTCCAGGGAATGCGAACACGGTTTCCCAACAGTCGGGCGCATCTTGGGGCGGGTGTGGCTCAGTAGTATTTGGTGCTCCTCGCAAACATTCTGGTTTTGTAGCCATACAGCGATGGCGAAGCTCGCCCAGCTGATTGTGGATCTGCGCCAATTCTGCGATACGTTTTTCCAGTTTTTGGCCGCGCACAGTCCACGTAAGCTTCAGCCTGCAAAGTGGCAATGCCTTGACCGCATTTCGAAAATCACAAGACAAGCAGACTTATGTATGCTAGGATCATACGCTTCAACAAAGGAACTTTAAGGACTTCCGGTACTTCTACGCCTCACAAACGCTTGGTATGGCAGCGTAACAAGCCTAATTCAGTTTTTTTGTCGACCAAGCGTGCTTTGCAGAAATTATTTTTGCAGCGATAGCTGCTTTGATTGACGTTTGCTATACGCCAATCGAAACTAATAGATTAGCATGCCGTTTGAAGTCACTTGCGTTCCGTTGCTTTCGGTTTTCGTCAGTAATATACCCTCTTATATTAAGTTTCTGTTTACGCTATCGAATTCTCTGAGCGTCATGAAATCATTGATCGTTTGGATTTTTCAACACTTTGTTCACAAAAAATAATAGGTATGGAACTCAATATGTTTTCTTGTAAATTGTGATCGACTGGGGCGCAGCGAAGAGTTTTTTATTCAACCAAAACGCAAGGATCGATGTCCGTCTCTAACCGAAAATGCACTGGTGACTTCATACGAGGCTATTTTGTATGACGTCACCTGGCTGATGCAAGTACTTGACAATTTTTTTAATTGATTCTAAAGTTTTAAAAATACAGACCTGGTGTACAAACAAACTTCATACTTCTGTGCGTTCACAATACAAAAGACTGAAGGCGATCGGTTCATGATTAAACTTTTGCAATTTTCTGCTAGCCATAATTGCTCAAGAAGATATTGTGTGCACAAACAGTTTCCATGTTAATGTATACAATTTATCTAGATGTCACTAATTGTATGATGTCAACCGAATGTCAAAGAAAGATGCAAAAATGTGTTTGGGAGTGAAAGCGAACGTTTTCGTTTATGTCACAGGATATTCGTATTATGCACTGATCAAGTATATCAATACGTAATAAGAATTGGACCCGCTCGCTTGAAACCTTGGCAGACCGCACCCAACGCTTAACTTTACAGTTTGCTGATTTATTTCGAAATATTCCGGGGTGCTGAATATATTTTAGGGGACTCTCAAATGTTAAGCTAATTAAACCTTGGTATGGTTTTTAATTGTAACCAGTACAAGCTGGACGTACGCGGAGACCACGCCCACCGTCACGATACGCAAGCCAACTCATGAGAACAATTGCTGTATCTCAAATAGCTTTTTCCATCAAAATTGAGACGCAACCCTTGCAAGCTAGGGTAAATTGGTAATTAATTTTCACAAGTTGCGCTCCAATCGCTAAGCGAGCGAACCGATGTATTTTACAATTATTTTGCTAGTTTTCAATATTATCGAAAACCTCAGAAGAAATTCATTTAAATATTCATGGTACCTTGAAAGCAAGTAGTAGCGAATCAGTGAATTTTCCGTTTCTTCGGCGGCCTGTTTGCTGGCTTCCAGAAGCTGGTCTCTGATATTTGCACACCTCAATTTCTCGTCGGTTGCATTGGGGGCCTTCTCAAAGCCTTCGGTTTCGTTCCGTTGGGGCGTTCCCGGTTGTTCCACAGCCAGTAATGTTGGGAAAAATGCCGCAATCAGAACTAGGCAGACCTGCATTGCTTTAAGGTTCAGTCTAATTTGGTTATCTAAGAGACAAATTTTGCAATAGTGAAAAGTGCTTTAACAGTTGAAACAGACGCGTAAGAGCTTAGCACTGAGATGCAAATCCAGGAGCGATTACTGGTGTATAGGAACAGGATCCATTCAAGCACATCTGAACCTTTCTGATCGCTGAGCCGTTTCCTAATACAGGCGTTTATTGACAAAATCATTTACAACGGATCACCGCTTCAATCAAGTGTGAACCGCTCTTATTTTAGCGGATTAAAGCTATTGATTTCCAAGCATCATCATCGCTATTCTCAGCGCTGTCTGTCGGTAGACCATGGATACAATACTCGGGTCGGGTTTTATTTCGATGATAGAATTATAGAGTTGCAGGTCAAATACAACGATGATTTCATAGCAAACGCAAACGCAAAGCAATATCCCGGTATGCGAAAAAAATTTAATCTGCCTGTGTGACTGAACACGCT